AGTGAATCTGTTAGAATTGAGCACTGTGTCAGTGAATCTGTTAGGAGAGAGCACTGTTTCAGTGAATCTGTTAGAATTGTGCACTGTGTCAGGGAATCTGTTAGGAGAGTGCACTGTGTCAGTGAATCTGTTAGAATTGTGCACTGTGTCAGTGAATCTGTTAGAATTGTGCGCTCTGTCAGGGAATCTGTTAGGAGAGTGCACTGTGTCAGTGAATCTGTTAGAATTGAGCACTGTGTCAGTGAATCTGTTAGGAGAGAGCACTGTTTCAGTGAATCTGTTAGAATTGTGCACTGTGTCAGTGAATCTGTTAGGAGAGTGCACTGTGTCAGTGAATCTGTTAGAATTGTGCACTGTGTCAGTGAATCTGTTAGAATTGTGCGCTCTGTCAGGGAATCTGTTAGGAGAGTGCACTGTGTCAGTGAATCTGTTAGAATTGAGCACTGTGTCAGTGGATCTGTTAGGAGAGAGCACTGTTTCAGTGAATCTGTTAGAATTGTGCACTGTGTCAGTGAATCTGTTAGGAGAGTGCACTGTGTCAGTGAATCTGTTAGAATTGTGCACTGTGTCAGTGAATCTGTTAGGAGAGTGCACTGTGTCAGTGAATCTGTTAGAATTGTGCTCTGTGTCAGCGAATTTGTCAGGTTTCGGTGAATTTGTTCAGTCTGTGCATTGTATTAGTGAATATATTAGGATTGTGCATTGTGCATGTGAATTTGTTAGGACTGTGCAATGAGCAATGTGCTAGTGAATTTATTAGGATTGTGCATTGTGCTAGTGAATTTGTTAGGACTGTGCATTGTGCTAGTAAATTTGTTAGGACTGTGCATTGTGCTAGTAAATTTGTTAGGACTGTGCATTGTGCTAGTGAATTTATTAGGATTGTGCATTGTACTTGTGAATTTGTTAGGAATGTGCATTGTGCTAGTGAATTTGTTAGTACTGTGCATTGTGCTAGTGAATTTGTTAGGATTGTGCATTGTGCTAGTGATTTTGTTAGAACTGTGCATTGTGTAACACGTGAATCTGTTAGGATATTGTATTGTGCCAATGATCTCATGGGTTGTGCATCGTGTCCGTGGTTCTTTGGGAGTTGTACATTGCGTTAGTGGATGTGTGAGGCTTTTGTATTGTGTTGTGGATCTGTGGGAGTTGTACATTGCGTTAGTGGACGTGTGAGGCATGTATATTGTGTTGTGGATCTGTGGGAGTTGTGCATTGCGTTAGTGGACGTGTGAGGCATGTGCATTGTGTTGTGGATCTGTGGGAGTTGTACATTGCGTTAGTGGACGTGTGAGGCATGTGCATTGTGTTGTGGATTTGTGAGAGTTATACATTGCGTTAGTGGACGTGTGAGACATGTGCATTGTGTTGTGGATCTGTGGGAGTTGTACATTGCGTTAGTGGACGTGTGAGGCATGTGCATTGTGTTGTGGATCTGTGGGAGTTGTACATTGCGTTAGTGGACGTGTGAGGCATGTGCATTGTGTTGTGGATTTGTGAGGCATGTATATTGTGTTGTGGATCTGTGGGAGTTGTGCATTGCGTTAGTGGACGTGTGAGGCATGTGCATTGTGTTGTGGATCTGTGGGAGTTGTACATTGCGTTAGTGGACGTGTGAGGCATGTGCATTGTGTTGTGGATTTGTGAGAGTTATACATTGCGTTAGTGGACGTGTGAGACATGTGCATTGTGTTGTGGATCTGTGGGAGTTGTATATTGCGTTAGTGGACGTGTGAGGCATGTGCATTGTGTTGTGGATCTGTGGGAGTTGTACATTGCGTTAGTGGACGTGTGAGGCATGTGCATTGTGTTGTGGATTTGTGAGAGTTATACATTGCGTTAGTGGACGTGTGAGGCTTTTGTATTGTGTTTTGGATCTGTGGGAGTTGTACATTGCGTTAGTGGACATGTGAGGCATGTGTATTGTGTTGTGGATCTGTGGGAGTTGTATATTGCGTTAGTGGACGTGTGAGGCATGTGCATTGTGTTGTGGATCTGTGGTATTTGTGGAACGTTTTAGTGTCCTTTGGGGGTTGTGCATTGTTTAAATTGATCTGTGAGTGTTTCCCATTGTGTGAGTACATCTTTAGTGAATGTTCATCTCTAATTTATTCATATGTAGATTGCTATACCATTGCATGCTATACGTGTCGTCGCCCCATTCATGTCTTCGGTTTCAATGGCGCAGTTTTGTCATATACATAACATGAACTGAGTAAAGCTAATTGTTTATAGCTAAAAGTTCATGAGATTGCTAATTAAATGTGGGAGCAACCCGTGCGATCTTGGGACATAAAATATATACAAGGTGTTAGAGTTGATGATGAGCTATTTGAATGCAGTTACGAAGCCATTGTCATTTAAACCAACATCGTCATTTTGTGGCTTTTAAGCCGCGTGCATAAAGCACGAGATTGGAAGTTCTATCAACATATTTATATACAATCACCACTAAAAACCACATTAAAAGACATGCAATAAACACGATGAGGACTTCATCAATAAGATATTTAGATACAATTTAAAATAAAATCAGTTGTTGCACGCTTAGTTCTTGTTTTTTTAAATATTATGAAGAATGTCATTTTCTGTCATTAATTTGATGAGTATGTGCAGCATGTCTTGTAAAATACCAGTCTTCTATCTGATCGCTTACTTTTAGAATAAATTCATTTCGCGGAATATTTTTATGTTTTAAAAACAATCTAACTAAATAGTTAAGTGTTGGATACTGTCAAATTTAAGTTAAATACCACTGTTTCTATTAGATTGTTCTTTGCATCGCTTTAATTTTCATCAAGCGAAATATATTTGATATGTCGAAAACATCAGATTTAATTAATAAAATCATAAACTCAAACCAATTAACAATTAACCAACTCAGTGATTTCTTCTTTCCATAAATTGTATCTGAAACCTGTTCCTGAATTTTATTTTTTATCCTCTTGATTTTTATTCATAGGTGTGTAGTCCTAACGACAGGTTAGTAATAGGTGCCGATACCTCGATAAAGGAGGCACGTGATCTAACAGGTCCCGCACGTGCCCCTATAGCTATTTGCCATTAGAAGGGCTATAATGTAATCTTGGGATTACTAGATCACTTTCCTGGATTACAATAGAAACAATTGTTTAACGAACTAATCATGTAATTTTGTTATTTATCATGTTACTTAAAAAGCGCTAAATGTTCGTCTGGTGGAAAGCGAAACCACTCGATTTACACTATCATTTCAAACTTTCAATTTAATTAAGTCAAGAGGTAATCCAATGAATGTAACTTGTTTTTCTTTTTGACGTGTTCGATGAAAAAAAGGAAGTGACAATATTAAAGAAACGTGACATGAACATCACTTGAACTTAAACAAATATAGAGTCAAGTCGATCTTGACCTTACACCGACTAAAGCCAAGAGGTGTAATGATGAAGATAAAGTGAAATCAAATTATTGTAATTTCGGAATAAACGTTAGGTTAAAGTCAGAAGTTTTGCATCTGACTATTGATAATCATATTATAATATAATCATATTATTATTTGGGTGTTAGAAAATTCATTGAAAATATTTTTGATATTCATAAACCAGTAAATGTCACAGATAAAACGTGACATTCATCTAAATACGTCTTCCATTTATTTCAATACATGTACACTATGTATACGATATGTTCATCGAATAGAAATAATATGAAAACATGTTTTGGCAGCCACAACCCCCGCCACAACCTTGCAACCTGGTCCGAATATAGCCAGTTTTATATATCTTGGAATAAAGCTATATCATTTTGATTTTGTTATTGGAATGATGGTATGTCATACTGGTAGCATAAAACCAAACGTGAAGTTCTATACATTTATAATGTAAATGTAATGTTATAGAAAAAAATTCAATTTTGGAAATTCATTTACAAAAATGAGAAAAAATGAACGTATTTGTAGTCAATTGATACATCCTATATAAGCTATATTTGTAACCAAATTAATATTTCGAGTCTTAAAACATATTTCTGTCAAAGACCACGCAGCAAAAATTTAGGCACAGGCGAGATTTAAACCATAGAAATATGAAGTACAATCAAATACAATTTATTCAGGTGTGAATTGTCATTTTTAAAGTATAAGAAAATAGAAATATATCAATATACACAATGTATATATTTTAGTGAAAAATTCAACCTTTGATATATATGTTTAACAAATGTTCCATTTCGACCACCTAGTATTGATAATGTAATTACTAATTACTTAAATTGCCATACTTTGAAAGTATGAAGTCTCATATCTTGGAACCATGAATGATTGATGTGTCCTAAGGTATAAAACTAGTATTAGTGTGAAGATTACATTCTTGGAAATAAGAAGTTTCTAGTATAAGAAAATAAAGATATAAGTATTTGTATAAGTCTGGGAACTGAAGATTTCGTGTTGAAAAATTAAATCATTTATGTATGTAAACTTTAACAAATGTTCCGTTTTTTGACCACTCTGTATTAATGATGAAATTACTAATAATTATTACTTGAATCGTTATAGCTTCAAAAATAGAAAGTCCCATACTTGGAACCATGGATGAATAACAATATGAAGCTAATAAGTATGTCAAGTTAAAGTCTAGGAAATAAGAAGTTAATACCTTGTCAGGTAGGTATGAAGTTAGCCTTGCCCAAGGCTGTGTCTTTTTATTTTATTTTTTTTAAAGTATACAATTGACAATCAATATAAATAAATAAAAGATAATACAGACTTGGGTAAAGCTATTAAGTGTCATATCTTGAAAGTAACAAGTGTCATATCGTGAAGATCATTCAACATATTTGGCAGTACATACCACATTTGGAAATGTCATAAAACACGGTAGTGTCATGGAAGTAGTTGAAACAATATCTTGAAAGTTGAAAATGGGAAGCACCATAGCGTGGAAATGTAAGATGGTTTGTTTTCCAGAAATGCTTTTGGGAGACACATCTCTGTAACACAATAAATTATACGAAACGACTCGTGATTCATTCTTGATTTGGTTTCTGAATAAATATAACATTGAAAACATATTTTATTAGAACATGAATATCATCGATTTATTTTACTTTTAACATATCCATACAGTTAGATAGGCAATGATTATGTTATCACACAAACACTATCACACTAGTGTTTATTCCAGTCAGTACACGGTACCAGTATCAAATTTAACAAAAGAAATAAATTATTTGATGTATTCTTAGAGCGATGACAACTTGGCATTTATCTGATCCAAACAATGGTAACTGTACAAAATTGAGCAGAAATAATTACCATTTTTATACAGCTCAATTGGGCGTAAAGAAATAACTTATAATCACACATAATAATTACAGAAAGTGGTTTCCAGGACAACCAATTTGAAGCAAAAAGTCATAAAGTTTATAAAAATGATAATAACATTTAAATATTACTGTGTAATTATATGACATTAGTTTTGATTCAATAAACAGATTGCAAAGAAAACCACTATATTTATTTCTTTATCTGTATCATATTTTACATTAGTTAATGAAATAAATTAACCAGTATTTTATACGTTTCGGCTTATTAATTAAAACTGCTTTACCATTGCACGTTATTATTTTGGTATCTGGTCTAAATATCATATGTAGTTATACATTGATCTATACAGAAAAACATAATTAAAGTCAAACAGAGGTTTAAATATAAATAATTAAGCTAGCTGTGTTGCTATTCTTCCAAGTGAAAGGCATTGTTTGTGGACTGGGAAGATTTCGCGCCGGTCAGTTGCCCAATGTTTCAAATTTCAGACATTCATAGGTTCCTCTTTGTCCAATAGTTCTTGTAATGCATTGATGTAAGTCTGGGCCATTTGTAAGGTTTCATACTTTGACATCTTTTTATCTGCTCCAAAACCAGGCACGACGTCTCTGAGATTGTCAAACGCAACATTTAGACTATTCATGCGTTTACGTTCACGTGCGTTTGCAGCCACGCGACGTTTACGTAACACTTCTTTTCCAGGAGCCTTGTGAATTATATTACGTTTACGTCCAGTTTTTGACGTAGGTTGTGTTTTTCGTAAATCGTCTTTGGGGTTCTTCTCATTTCGTTTCTTCACAGATTGTTGGCATTTTTGACGTTTGGTGACAGTTTTTGAAGTTTTGGCGCACTCTTGTGATGAAATGTTTGTTACACAATCAGTTGTTTGGATTCTCTCATTTAATTTGTCGTATCCTATCGTGTATGATGCTTCTCTTTGGTAATTTTGGTTTGCATATCCGTTAGTGTCTGTCCATACGTCTCCATTCACGTTTTCAATTTGATTAAATTGGAACTGCCATTGCCGTACGTTGTTTGACGTTGTTACGTTTGCGTCGTTAGAGCAACTGTTCCAGTTTTCATAAGTGCCGTTTATGCCATGGTTGTAATAAAGCATTCCCGGTGCATGTTGCAATATCTCCTCTCCAAGCATCTTGGCGCTAACGTCTACTTGTACGCAACGTGTGTCAAATGAATCTACGTTAAGAGTAATTCGTTGAATCGTTACTAATCTTGTTTTTAAGTTTTTTGCAATTATGCTGTATATACATCAACTTTTATTTACATGTCCATTTTTATTTGCAGATTGTCAAGTACTGGTCGTTTACTTTGAAATAATCGAAAACTATTAGCCAGTACATTATATAGGGAATGTTTTGGAGCCCCCTGGCCCTGGAATAGTTGTATTGTAGTAGTTTGTCTGTATTGATCACAAATTGTCCAATCATCAACGACTTGAAGGTAAGGGGCGTGTGACCAATAAAAATGCAGTCCTATCACCCCTTCAATCACACACTTAGAATTCTCATCACACGTCGACCATGGCAATTCTATTAAAATACAATAGGATGCTGCGGTTGAATCTAATATAAGGGACGTCAACTTTAGAGGTGTCACTAGAGCTCGTGCCCAGTAAACCAATAATTCGACAACGCCACACGAATGGAGTCAGACTTCAGAACACTGAACAGTTTTTCAGTGAACAAAAACGAGATTTATGTTGTTGTGTACAGCGTGTCTGTCACATGTTATTACGGATTCTCGTGTTTTCTATTACCGTGATTAACATTCCACTTAATAATCATATAGAATTGAAAAATGAAATATTATCACATTGATGTTTGATAAAAACTTGAATGGGGGAGGGAATGGGCACACGAATGGGACACGCGCCTGGTTGATTGTGATTACAAATGATTGCGCTTGTAAATGCGCAATCGCATCACTTATTATCCATAACAACAAAATATAAACGCACCTTAATCAGTGATTCTATCAATGTTTATTCAAATAAGAACACAAACAGATTAAACCCCTTGAAATTAAAAAAATATTTTTATTTAAAATCTCAAGATGTAATGCGATATTTTCTAAATGCCGTATTGTGTTAATGATGGGGATAATAAGAAAGATGGGGAGGCGAATGTAACGATTATTTCATTCGCGCGCAGCCTGATTTTAGTTCAAACTCACGGAAGACTTCGTGAATAATTTGTCTATGAGCTGTACCAATAACATTTAACACTCTCTATACAAGTATAAAAATATAAGTTGAGAAGTGGATGTCACGATACAATCTAGTCCAACGCGATGCATGTGACAGTTCAAATGACGTAAATTGCGCATCTTCCATCAACACTGTCGTTAATTCGTAACAATTAAGATCTTCTCAGACGTAAATGAATAATTGAAGATATATTCTCAAATTGCCAACAATGTCCAGCATGTAAGTCTTATAAATACTTAGCCCATCGTATGTGAATAGAACTGATTATGCTAACTAGCAATATTGATTCGTTTTGAAAAACCTTTGAAATCATTCTTTTTCATGGCAAAAAATACAATAAACATTTCTATTTGATTAAATGAATGTTCTACATTCGTTTGCATGTTACAGGTCCCATTACATGTGTTTTAATTACATATTTACCCTACAATGCATTAATTATTACATTAGAAGGTGATTATAGGTAAATTATTTATTGTATAATGCTATAGATGACTTCCATGAAATATGTTTTTTGAATATGCTGAATAACTAATTCCACCATCAAAGTAAAAGGACAATTGTTTGCTGTGTTTGATTCTGTAAACTTTCTTAACAATTTACAAACAGGAACACCTTTGTGTAATTAACGTTAATTTATTCATGAGGGCCACTGGGTAATATATATTAATCACGTCTTCATGGCGACATAATTATGCGTGAGAAAATAAAATACAGTTTCTTTTTATCACCCATATTGTCCAAGTTTTTACTCTTGTTACCCATTTGACCAATGAACCCTGCCCCAATATTGAGATGAAACATGTTTTTGTTATAGCTTCACGACCACTGTGACTACCGTCTAGTACTATAAAAGTGGACTTCAAAAATGTTCATATCCACTACAAATGTAGAGGGTTTATTTGTTAGCTGAGGCAAACAGGGTTGCGTGAATCATGTTTATCTCCTTACAAACTGTAATATGTCCCCCGACACTTACATGTATCATGCTGAATTTGTTGATCATATTTATAAAAAAGCGATCTTAATCAATTATCTTATTAAGTGATTAATTTCCAAGTTGAAAATCAAAACAAATGTTGATTATTTCAAAAAGCTGTCTACATGTTTACATAATGCGCCCATTAAAAAGAGATGATGAGAAATGTTAATTCTAACAAATTGTTTCCATTTAAACAATAAAAGAGAGTCCTATGATTAATATAAACATACCGTTTATAAAACATGATGAAGGTAACTTTGTTCTGATGCTTTACATTGTCAGTAGCATCACAGCCTACGTACCGCTATGACATCTATATTCAGAAGAGTATCGAAAATGCCAGTATGCCATTTAAAGATTATGCTTTTGTACAATGGAATCAACAGATATCAACAAAATTATGTAAGTAAATGAGAACGAACAAAATAAATCAAATTCATTAATAAGACTGATTGTCAGTCACATTTTGAGGCATGGATTACTTGAATCATAAATATGAGAATTATATGATATCTCAGGTCAAGGTCACATCGATAGGCCAATGTCATCTGAAAGTTAATGATCAATGCATATATATTTCAGATCTTTACAATTTTAATGTCCAAAGGTGTATATGTATGTGTGTCATTAGGTTATGTGTGAAGGTCAAGGCCATTCAAGGGATCAACATGAATATTTGGACTGGTTGATGTCAACTACAAGGTCAATCTATCTTGTTTTTCATATCTTGTGATTTTGTTCTCAGCTGAAGTTATATGCAGGTTCTTGATAGGCCGTGTGCCAGTGTTTATATATGAGAATTACCTATTGAGGCTCTCAAGGGGCCCCTCTCAACCACATGTTTGACCATATTGAGGTCACATTTAAAGGTAAATGCTATTTCTATCAAAGTTGAAACCATTAGTTGATATGAGAGTATAAAAATATTTGAAGACATTATTTTTATGATCTTTCAAATGCTACACTCAATTACTCACAAGAAACATGAAATCATATAATATTAACATTTATTGCACTCATTGAATACACAGATACTTTTGTACAAGTAATAGGATAATAAAGTAAAATAACTACTACTATAAGACAACTAAACCTTATAGAGGAACAAAGAACTATGTGCTCTGGCAAAAGAGGTGGAGAACCTATGGTTCAAGTGCAAGCTAATATTATGGAGACAGTTTTTCTATTTTTAGATGTAGATCCAACCTGCTTGGAAAAATCCCAAGGACTCTCTTGTAGCCACAGGACATTCATTACATACAGCTAACTGACTCTCATCTGTTCAAATAGTTTTGTACAAATAAATATCTTTCACACCCACCAATCTGAGTAATTCTTTATTCTTAATCTCAGATGACTTGAGCTAAATCTGTTCATAATCCAACTACCAGTACTAATCTAGCACCCTAAGATTGGGGATTAAGAAACTGTTAGTTGTGTTGTAGTTCAAAGTCCTGCCCCACCTTGGCATGGTGGGGATTTAGAAACTGTCTGTGAAGTTGACCATTGAGCTGGTGTTTTGGCCTGAAAAATTTCATTATAAGGTAAATATTTCTCAATTTAAACTACATGAAATACAGCACATTATCCTATGCCAAGTAGAGTTTTAGGGAGATAAGTTGGTAAGATATATCCCGTATCCTGATTTGAGGTTTCCATATCCCAAACCTCCATATCTCCCGCTCCAGGGAATATCTTCCCGCTTCGAAAAAAAAATTTTGTTAAAAATTTGAAAAAAATTGAAAAAAAGAAAAAATATGAAAAAATTAAAAAAAATAAAAATTTGAAAAAATAGAAAAATTGAAAAAAATGTAAAAATTAGAAAAATGTGAAAAAAATTGAAAAAAAATTGAAAGAAAATTAGTAAACTCTACTTGGTATAGGATAAAGCAGTTATGTACGGTCGGTTTGGATATTGGGTTCATCCCTCGTGAGATATGCACATCTACCTTCGGTCCCTACGGTCCCTCGGGTAGATATGCATATCTCCCTCTGGATAAACCCCATATCCAAAACCTCCCAGTACATAACCCTTATTTCTTTTTATATAAATGACAACTGATATCTGATGTGCAAAGTGTGGTAAACACTTCTGTCTATGAAAACTAATTTTAAAAATGTTTCTGAGACACCTATTTTGTTTGAAGATACCTTGTTCCATATATGTCAGAGGCGGTCATGAATTACTTCAATAAACATATTGTATTTGGACTGACAATGCCAATGCACAATAATAACTTACAAATATTGATAGTGCATGTATTGAAGATTGAAGCTCTTCCTTCAAGACATCATTCACCAGTCTGTGTCTCTGAAATGTCCAACACATAATGATCATGGATCAAAAATGAATAATATATAATATAAAATGTTCAAATGCTTAATTCTGAAAATTCTTTAGCTGAATCATGTGAGCATACAAGTATATTGCTAAACCACCAAGTCATTAAGTAGCAATGACTGTTTGATAATTGGAACACATCTCAAAACCTCAAAAACAGTGTGCTTAACTATCAACTTGAATCACCATGTACATGATGGAATTCTTGTCCATGATATAACTCATTATTATGCACAGTGTAGTACATTACTGTACAGTAAAGTATACTATCATACAGTACAGTACAGTTTACTTGACAGCTCAGTACAATACTACAGTACAATATACAAGAGCAATGCAATACAATATACAATTATTGACCTCTCCAGAGGTTTACTGTCAAAATTATATCCCGAGACTGTAAACCGAGACCGTAGGTCGAGGTTTACAGTCGAGGGATATAATTTTGACAGTAAACCGAATGGAGAGGTCTATAATTGTTTTGTTAGTCCGAAGAATATCTTAGATTTTTCTGACCCTTGAAGTTGACTTGAAGTTGGATCCAGACCCTCGAGACGTTCATGTTGTATTTCAGTATATGGGCAGTAAGTTCACTCAATGGAGTCAAATTACTCTCCTGGGCGAAGTCCACTAAAAGCTTTGTACAAAGTTTTAGATTTTTCTTCGTATTTTGACTGTCTTTACTCTCTAAGAGACTAATAATATCCTCATCTTCAACATTTTTGAAACGGCTAGTGCTAGCGGCGGCCATTTTATCGTCTGATTATGACGTCATTTTAGTGGAATGCTGGGAATATTATTCACCGGCAATGCATTGCGCGGTGTACAGTTAAAATTATTCACCGCTCGTTGACCAATCAAAATCGAGTATTTCAACTGAGGTACTAACAATATAAATTAGTGTCTGAGTCTCACCTTTATTAATGGCACTTTGTCAAACTTGTTAGACACCACAATGACCTTGAAATGACTCTCTGAACCTTTAGGCACACTGTGCATGAAACTCTCATTGATCACATCAAGGTGAACTGGCTAAAATCACAAAAATACATATATGTGAAATATGGTGAAAACAAAGTACACTGTATTTGTTCTTTATATTACATATTTATATCACATGGCAAGGCACAATGAAGTAAAGATTTACTTAGATAAATAATTAACTTTATAAATAATTGACTTTACTCAATAATATATGTCACTGGTCAGTATCAAGTGAAAGTTACGCTCGTCACCTTCGCATTTAAGATGGTGGATGGGAAGTGTCAATTTCCATATTTTTAGTTTTCATCGAATTAAACTACTTTATGGTTGATTATTGCTTTGATATTTAACTAAACCAGGCTTATATTACAAAGAAACTCTGGAGTATGACCAGTTGTTCATATATTGTGCATAGGTGCCACAATTCAATCATATCTTCCAATTATTCAATGTTGAAGGGCAACAACCACGTGTGCACATTAATGAAATTACAGAGGTCAGAAGGTCAAGGAAAACTACAATATATGGAAACACCATAAAGTAACATGTTAAGGTCACCTGAGGGGTGAGAGAGGATGGTATATCTACTAGTAATTTTACATTGATTATTTCCTTATTGTTCAGAAAGAAAATATTTGAGTTGCTATTATCCCACCATTGTTTATAGAAGTCAAACCAGGTTTAATTTGATGAAAACTAAAGATATCAAAATCCACACTTTCTGTCCGCTATCTTAAATGCAAAAGTGACAGCAGTAACCTTCGCTTGATACTGACCAGTGTGTTTAATGAAGTATAAGACTTTGCCTGAAGTAATATAGGACTTTACCTGAAGTATAGGACTTTATCTGAAGTAAAGGACTTTACCTGAAGTATAGGACTTTACCTTAAGTAAAGGACTTTACTTGAAGTATAGGACTTTACCTGAAGTATAGGACTAGACCTTAAGTATAGGAGTTTACCTTAAGTATAGGACTAGACCTTAAGTATAGGACTTTGCCTGAAGTATAGGACTTTACCTGAAGTACAGGACTAGACCTTAATTATAGGACTTTATCTGAAGTATAGGACTTTACTTGAAGTAAAGGACTTTACCCGAAGCATAAAACTTTACCGAAAGTAAAGGACTACACTTGAAGTATAGGACTTTACCTATTGATATCGCACTTTACCTGAAAATTCTCTATTAATTTCTTCCTTATTGATGTTTCTACTGGATGTTCCTATATAAATAGATGAATAGGATATTATCATTATAAAATTATGAACACATACTACATGACATGTATTGCATAAATTAAAGTACGGTTGATTACAACTATACTTAATTTTTATTTCCCAAAAAATATATCTAATACATCTTTCTTTATAGAAAGGGTCCTCAAATACAAAGTTAAGAAGAGACCCATAGACATTATAACATTTATTTATCATTTACAAGCTTAGATTGTGTTCTGCGCCATGGGCCCATTGTCTTTTCTTGTGCTATACAATTAATACTATAATGTGAAAATAATATGGCTCTATGTTGGGTGAAAGCTTGCTAAAGAGCTTATTAGAGATAATTCTGAGGACTTGATAAACTGGAATTACTGCATTAAAGAGATTTTATTATTTTACAACTGCATACTTTATAACATACCATTTCCGTTGTGTTAAGTTTTCTGTTTCCAGTATATGGAGCATATGTACGTCGCTTAGGTCTCCCAACTCTTGTAGCTGCCCTTCTTGCAGCAGAGCGCAGAACTGAAATATTAAATGACAAACTGAAATATTGAAAAATCTACTCAAACATGTATAAAGAAACCTTTGACCTAAACTCCTGCTACACAGTTTATATTTAAGTCTAAGCCCAAGTAAAGTGGTAGACTGATAAAATCAATGTTCTCATCACATTTTTTAAAATACAATCCAAAATTCAATACATGCTATAAATGTAGAAATGTGTTTTTTGTTTGTGGCCTTATTATCATGATGTAAGCCAATAATTAGGTTTTTGAGTACACCTTTAAAGAGGGCTAGAAAAATGGTCCAAATAGATATAAGGAAAAGCTAAGATATGAGAGTTGCCTTTTTGAATTGTACATCATGTATATGCCTGTCAAGTGTCAATGGATCAAAATTTAAGTACTACACAGACTCTTGTTTCGTAGGGTTTATGGAGCAAGGAACAAATCAAAATTTTCGAATGGATTTTCTTATTCTTATCTTGGGAAGTTTTCTTGAGATTGTAGATGTTTCCAATACATCCTTCCAACATCTTGAAAAGTGATGAGTTATTTCCAAAAATACGAAAATTAATCTCTTCATTCTGCCAATGTGAATAAACCCATACAATTGGTGATTCAACTGCATAAAGGAATCCTAAAATACTCAGGAATATATCGAGGTAGGTATTTTATGTGTGCAATGCGTAGTACTTTCTCCACATTGTAGAAATACTGCCTGAACAATCATTGGAGCGCAGGACTATAAAAGTCCTGGAATTGGATAATTTTGCATAGGCCTAGGGAAAGTAGTAGTACTATTCCCTAGGCCTTTGTGTGCTTGATTGATGATGTAAGCTTAAATTAGCTAACCCTTGAGTTTACAGACACTGAGACAGAGTCACTGTCAATCAGACTTCTCAGGAAATACAAACTAGTTCTAGAGAGGTCTATAACATCGAATCTGGTGGGTAGCCTACCTGTATTCATTGGGAAACTTGAGACAACGATACAATTTGTTGATCACTATCTTTGAATGTGGTTTAAGATGTATCAAAACGGGAAAATAAGCAAAACTTTCGATTTTTATAATAATATTATCAAACGGAAGTACCGATGCGAAAACATATAAGAGAACTTATATGATTGGTTAGATTTTTCCATCAATTCTGATTGAACCAATCAGGCAGTCTTTAACATCCAGCTTCGTCTGGACGACATTTTAGTAAAATTCTGAAATTCTGTAGATTTGTAATCAAAATGTCGACTTATATCGACTATAGACGTGTCTTATACACGTGTTCTTGCGGGACCGAAGAGCCAATATGTCGTTTATATTTCTGCCGTCATTGCATGAAGCTCAGATGTGGACATTGTGTGTCGCATGAGGTAAAAAATTTTCCTGTGTTGATTCCCACCAAGAAAATTACACATGAACTTGTATCAACACCTGACATCTATCAGGCGAACCTAGAGGAACATTTAACCATTTAATTTAATACAAAAAAAGCAGAGCAAAAGCCAGACTTTTGCCAGGGCGGGTGGTAGATCTAGTTTGTATCTGACAGATTGGCATGGCCATTTTCAGCCAATTTTTAATAACGAGCCTTAGAATATTCTCACATACAATGTAATTTTTTTTTTTTAATCTGGGGTTGATCCATTTGTCTGTCCCCCCCCCTTTGGCTCTCACTTCGCTCACAGTGATGTAAATCCAAAAAATCACACACCCCTCTTGACAATTGCTGGCTACGCCCCTGTATCTAATAGACTCATTATTGAGGCAGTATATATTGATTGTTAAGGTGACAGTGAAGTTCCAAGATGGCTAAACCAGGAATCATATGGTATTTGAGTATAATTTGAGCATAGAAATTACTGTCTTTCGTTGGATTTTCTCTCAATTTTTTATTTTCAGGCTTACTATGGTAATTCAAATAGAAACACTTTGTGTTGGATGGGAATTTCAATCCTCTGAAAATATGACAGGAATTAGAGAAAAAAGTAGCATGGCAAAGGTCCATTGACAATTTTTTCATTTATTTTCTCAAAAACATCCCTTGAGTTATAATGTAGCTCTTACATCAAAAGAGCTTTAGAATTTTGAAGTCTGTCTTACAAATTGAAAAGGAGAGAAAAACTAATTTGAGTAGTGCACATCTTCCTTCTTTGATCCACATTTTTGTGTTGTGTAAATTTTCATTTTGCTCCTTCATTTTTGATAAATGTTTGAAGTATCTTTTCAGATATTTTGGATCAGTGGGTTTCCATGGGCTACTCCTTGAAAATTTTCTTCTCAAAATCTTTATTCAGCACTTTTTTCTCAAACTAAAGTCATCTTAATGCAAATTTCTGCCTGAAGAAAACAGTTGTCAGTTATCATTTTAGAATTGAAAATTTGACCTTTTAGCTTGATTTATTTGATCAAAAACACAAATGATTCAGTCACTCAATGACTCTTCATGTCCATAAGATAAATGAATATAGAATGTAGGATGATGAATCATTGAGATGATTCAAAATAGATGGCTTATATGAAATATTAAATCGTTTTTGGCTCACACAGTGAGCCTATGGGATCGACCAGGCGTCCGTCCGTTGGTCTGTCCGTCCGTCAACATTAGCCGCACAAATTAAAACTGCTATTCGGATTGAGTCACATGCACTTTCATTTTATGCATATCCATAATGCCTATTTGACCTATCATCGCCATTTCCCAAGTTCGCCCGGTTTCCGAGAAATTGCTGATTTTGATGTCAAAAAGTCAAATTTTCTGTAAATACTAGACACTTTGTTCAAGTAGAACTTTCAAATAACGTGTAGTAGTTGCTGTATATGCAACCTATGTCCTCTGAAGATTTCAAAGCTCTTGGAATTACAGTTTTTGGTGTTTACTCTATAAAATTTGACAAAAAGTAGGACTTAATTTTCAGGAACTTTCTCATGTATAAAGTCAATGGCAGGTTTTGTGATTGACAAGTTTCTCAAAGTTTGCCTTATACTTGATCATTTCTTGCAATGAATTACATCATTACTAGATTTAAGCATTCCCCACATATTGCTCAATATATGTCAGCATCAAATTTTTACAGTTTTTGAGATATTTGACGTCAAAAAACAGTAAAAATAAGTTATTTTTCAACTTGCTTCAATTTGACCAAATTTTTGCCAGGAGTTCAAATCTGACATTAGTTTTGGGATTTGACCTTTACTTGACCTTCAGTGACCTTCGAAAGGTCAAAAAAGTTGATTTTTCAAATTGATTTTTGGATGTACATTTTGGTCAGCTTAATCACAAAAGACCTTACTGAGCTCTGAATAAGTAAAATTTTCAAGGTCAAAGGTCATCAAACTAGGTCACACAACTGTGCTATCTAAGTTTCTCAAAGTTCGAGACTACAAATCCAAATCAACATTCTTGTTTAAAAGTCAGGATGTACATTCCTCTGAAGGTTCCAAACTGTGTGAGCACAGTACCGTGGGTCCTATTTTTGTGTTCTGAAATTGGACTGAAATAGTTCTGTTCAGGAGTTTGACAGTACTGAACTGTTAAAAAATTATTTTGTTCCTTGACATGCCTCTAACAATTACTGCATTATTATCATTTATATTTTTGTTTTATATTTTTAGGTGGATTCCCACTACTGCCCAAACTGTTTAGAAAATATGCCAATAGCTGAAGCCAAAGCTAAGAAAAACAGGTAACATGTAGCAACTGAGGTGAAGATACCATATTTTGACACCGTGTCATTTTTGGTTAATTTCAACATTTGGGATGATTTCAGTCACTATCTGTTTGTTCATATTAGATCCATATCCACAGAGAAGCTGTTTTCATTCTGACATTGATGGAGATTTTATTAGATTTGATTTTTCAAAAACAAACACGGCAGACATGAACATAAAAGAATCTTGAATCAAGTTCATTCATTCTCATTGTAGAACACCCGTTCCCCTACTCCCCATATTTTCACGCTAAACCGTTATGGGTGACATCTATTAACGGAGTAAACAGATTTACATATATTAAATGTGCTTGCTTCATATATGTAAAGATGCCTTTTATCTCTATTATCTTTTTACAAATGAATTTTCTCTGCTCTCTTAGATGTTGTCGAATATACGATGTCATCCCATAACTATCAATAAATAAAATTGACATGTTATATTGAAACTGCACCAATCTATATATCATATTCTATTCAGGTGCGTTAATTGCTTCGACTGTCCCAGTTGTCGTCATACCTTGTCCACACGTGCAACCAGCATTGCTGTGCCTGACCCCCAGGATGCAACTAAGACCACCCCCAAGAAGGTGTACTATTTGGCTTGTGGCTTCTGTAGATGGACATCACGGGATGGTGGTATTCCTGACCAGCAGATAGGTGAGTATTCAGCATCTACATTAATAGTCAATGGGAATATAACATATATCATTTGGACATGAAAATCAAAATTATTGGCTGCTCTTTGACAGTTTGATCAATGAATATTGAGGATTTAGATTGACAAGATAAATTGTAAACCTCCATTGTTCAGAAGAAGACTGCCAATAATCTGAAAGGTTTTACTGCATTGATGATATGCCTAACCATGATCAAGTTAATATTGAATATATTCAATTATTGCTATTGTTTCAGCTAGTGGAGGTTGGCAAGATCAGATCAACAAAGAGGAAGCTGCTGTAAGTACTAAGTATTGCAAGTTTATATACATTATACTTATTGCATACCTCATTGCATACTTAAGAAGATTATAAAGATATCATTGGGAAAACTTCATGGTGTAACCTCACCAGTTCATTTGAAATATTTAGTTTCAACAGAAACATAATACAATATTTTGACTATGATCAGAAAACAGAATTTGATATTTCATGAATAAGTTGTTTATTTCCAGATTGCTGCAACTATGGAATATTACAAACAACTGGCCTCTAAGGAGAAGATAGAAAAAGACAGGAAGAAATATAGAAGGAGGAGTTATCTACACTTCTCTGTAAGTAACACATTAACACTACAGCATTACTGTGTTTGTCTTTGGATGCAACATTTACAGAGTGCGATAACAATGGAAAGACCAACCATATACCCTAATTACCCATGTACCACTTTACTAAAACACATTCTAACTCTGCATATGTTAATACAAAACATAATTTAGAGAATTAACCCAAATCACCAGACATTTTTTGAGCATGATTAACAGCAGGGACAAAAAAAGTCCCCAACTAAAAAACTAATGTCTGGCGGTAGGGGTATGATAACTCATGTATGATATTAAAAATATTAGACTTGTAATGCTAAATTTCTGCTATACCCACTGACTTATTTCGTTGCACCACATCTGATAATATAAATGCATTGTCTGTTTTATTAATTTTATGCTAAAATTTTTGATGTTTTCTTGCATAATAATTGATATTTAATACATCAAACCTTGGCATTTTATTTACAGATCATAATTTGTTATTGTTTCTGACATTTTGTGGCAGTAACATTATTTTGCTTTTTAACGCTCAAACACATAAGTTTCCCAGAATAAATCATTGAAATGTTTGTTTGTGAATGTTTTACAGACAATCTCTCATGTGCTAGAGGTATGCTAGAAAGTATTATTTTAGTAGAAATGTAGATATATCTAGATTATTTCCCTACAGCGATGTTGTACTTTTCAGGCTTTCAGGTGATATCAGCACTTTAAGACAAAAAATAAAGATTATAATAAAATTTTATCAAAAATATTTTTGGCAATACTCTATATGTGTGCTTTTATAAATAAACAGAATATTCTAACATCACAATAAAAAGTGAGTTTTGTATTTTACATGAACAAGAAATGAAGACTTGTATAAATTATATATATTGAAAGGTGCTTATATAACCTACTCCCGCATAAATTGTGTTGCATATGTACTATGCCATAAATCCACAAGAACTGCATTTCTAGCTTGGCTTTCTATCCTATAAATGTCCACATCTGTGGTAAATGCATAGGTTTGTATTTAGAGGTACAGTACATAATATTTATAAATGTCTGAATGAATGGCCACATATACATATGAACAAGAACTTGTTATATAAAAATGTATTGCACTGAATTCTTACTTTATCTAGAGTGTTGTAATTTTTTAATTTGTTGTAATTTTGTTAATATTTAAATTTAATTGTCTGGCTGAGGTTTGGATCAGTTGTTTTTTCAGCAACAAGTTTGACAATTTTCAGTTGTTACGTCAACACCAGAAGTTGTAACATATTGTTATAGTCTCCAACTTTTTTTGTGGACTGTTCGGGGGTTGGCATCTTTTGCATGTTAATTCCTTGTTTATAAGAACAATATGTTAAATGTACAAATCAAGTCAATTGTGTCCATTTCTGGTGCTTAATTGCTATTGCTTTGTAATATACAGAATTCTGATATTTGCGAAAGAAACTGTTCCTGTTAAAGCTTCAAGAGTGGTTTATTTATGTGGCAAGGCTTTGTAGTTTAGATGTGTCCAGTTCAAGGTGTAGGTTCAAGTTTCAAATGTAATTAGTGAAACAAAAAGGTTATGATTAGAAGTTCAGCAATGAAGAGAATTGTTTTATGGAAAACTATACTTTCTTACCATCTACTTAGTAAATATCAGATAAACTCCAAGTACAGTAGATTGTAACTCTGTCTATTGTAATAGTCACAAATTGATGTAAATCTATGACATTGTAGGACAAGTTTGGCTTATCATCTGCAGCTGCCCGTAGGAGAGCTGGCCTGATGAACCTGGCTTCTATGAGGTAACACCTATAGTGTTAAAGTTTTATATAATGGAGAATATTTTAGACTTAACTAGATAAATCATAGTGCTATTAGGATGAATTGATAGTCAAAAACACTAAATGACTCAAAATGATTGTTAATGTATAGTAAAAGAAACATAAATTGAGGCATATTCACAATTCGTCATTGTGAAATCTTATTGAATGGATTTAGGATTATTACAGTTAAGTTCAAATGACCACATAACCCTTTTTGAATCGATTCAGCAACTTTGGGGATTAAATCAACATAAAATGATTTTTTACCCAAATTTTTTTTTGTCATACATTCAAAAATCAACAACTTCAGCAATGAGTCAGAATCTGTTAGTAAGCATAAATTACATCCCGATGTAAAACTATCAATATGTAAACAAAATTGCTTCCACTAATTGGTACTTCATCAAAATATCTGTAATAATTCCATATTTTATTGTAGCCTGAAGGAAGGTGAAGAGATGGAAGTTGCAGAGCCAGAGAGGACTGAGGCCACAGATCAATGGGAACCTCTAGATGATAGCATCTACACAGAGCCTCTTAACCTTGCCACAGTCACCAGTGTAAAGCAGAGGCTAGCATCTGTAGAATTCCAACCAGCAAATACAGGAGACTTATACCCAAGCCATAAGCATCTGTTGATCAAGCGATCCCAAAGATGTAGGGTAAGTTCATGCATAAATATTATTAGTAATGAATGGGTCCCGGTTTACTTCATTGTTAAGTCAGGAAACAGGAAGTGTGACCTTTGAAAACACAAGGCAAAACACATTGCTAAGAGGTTATCTAAATCAACATTACTGCACACATTTAATTGTATGCATACATAGCCCGGTGTGGGTAAAAAGGGGTTGGGCGTGGGGTCTACAGGTTGCTCAGAAATGGTTTAGGTAAAAAGGCGTGGGGTGTTGTATTTAGCAGTATACTAGTCTCGGATTGGAGAACGAAGTTCATCAGTCTACTGTACGTTACGCCTGCTTTGGACAATTTTTGATATTTTTACATCTTGTAGATCTAAATGTCCTCTTTTGAATATTCATGATTTAATTTGGGTGATATTTCTTTATTTTTCATGAAAATAATTATTAGCCCAGGAGACTGTTCTCCAAACCAAGACTTGTCTTTTTAGGAGATTTGCATTCTTAACAATTAAACACTTTTTCTTCAATTTGATGGCATACTACATATATTTGAATTCTATGTGTAATTTTCTATCAAAAAAGGTTTGATTTGCACAGTTATTTATCTTGATTCAAATTCTGAAGATTTATAAGTTTTCTGAAAAAGGTTGCGCTAAATCCTCATTGACATAATGTTGAAAAACCTTAAAAAGTTTATTCACTCTTAAAAGTATCACAATTTTAATGTTAAATCACAATCCACGTGCCAATAGGTTCATACAATTACATTAAAATCATGTTTTAAAGTTGATCCAAATGGAATTCCTTGTTAGATCAAACAGATTAAGTGACTCTTGTTATACATTTCCATGTATTCTAGCCCTACCAACACCCACAATGCCATCTATTATTCCATTTATATGATGATTTAAATGGTCATAGTTAGGCGAGGTATGTCAAATTTCAGCCAATCAGAGCACAAGTAGTAGCAGGCCCTAGCTTGGGTGGGCAAACATTTTCCTTGCATTATCTTGAAGGAATACGCCACAAAATGTTATTAATATTGAATTAAATATTCCACACATAATTACACTGGAGGAAAATTGCTGAAAGTAAGGGTTATTGGGTAATTGAGACACCTCCCACTATCAATTTTTATCTTTTTCTGTTTTCTCTGTGTACGAAATGAAATGATGAAATTGTGGATCCTTCCACCCCTTCAAAAATAATACAAGAGCCGAACTAGGTTGCCTGCCTGCAAAATACATCACAAAAATTGTATGGTTTTCACATCTCAACGTATGATTGCGCTTCAATTTCCTCACTTGAGAATAAATGAAAGCCATACTACTAAAATATGTTTTACATACACCCCACGCCTTTTTTACCCAAACCAAATTGAAAGTCCATGATTGCTCGAACCTTGGCTACAGGGTGCTCAAAAATTGAAAGCTCATGGAGCAATTAATAAGGTCAGCTTACTTGCCAATATATCACAAAAAATGTATGCATCTCCATGTATGATTGCACTTCAATTTCCTCACTTGAGAATGAATGAAAGCCATACTACTAAAATACATTTTAAGGTACACCCCACACCCTTTTAGCCAAGCCATTTTTGAGCACCCTGTAGCCAAGGTTCGAGCAATTTATGCAGTTAATAAGGTCAACTTACTTCAATCTAAATCACCAGGTACAGTCATTTGATATATAAACAACATAATACTGATAAACAATTAGAGGTTATGTCACTATCGTGGCATATATGCCCGAGGTCTCAGTGATATATGGCCCGACCTTGGGAGGGACATTGATCTCTGAGAACCGAGGGCATATGTGCCACGATAGTGACATAAACGATTTATAACATACCTATGATGATGTGGACTGGTCAGAGAGTACCGTTTTTTATAGAATTGACAAACAAATGGTTTGAAAATGATTGAAATAAGAAAAGAAAAATTGCTCGCGCAGATTTATCTTCGATTGATTGGTTATGACGTCAGCGCCTTGACCAATCAGAAAGTTAGCGGGCGCAGGCTTTTCACAACTTATATTGGCCCGCTGTCTTGTGTACACTTTACACTATACATCATCATAGGTATGTTATAATGTGACCTTATCGTTTGTTTACAACAGTATTTATTGTGTGACTATTCCATTGCAGCAATGTGAACATAATGTCAGCAAACCAGATTTCAACCCTTCCTCCACTAAGTTCAAGATTCAGCTGGTTGCTCTGTAAGTCAACACTTTATTTTTAAGGACTATTAAACATGTATACACCATATGTATTCCGGATGCTTACTGACTTATTTATGGCCACATCTATAAAACTACATTTAAGTTTTTTATCAATGTATTTTACTTAGGAGCGTAAAGGCCAATGCCTGTCAACTCAATATGTACTTTGTAATATTTTGAAATCAATAAGAATCCTCTTACATTCTTTCTCTCCTGAATACATATGGAGTATCAGATAAAACAATAGTGGCTGGCACATTTTCTAGAAATAGTGCATTGTGATATGTCTTTGGACATGGTATTCACTAATTTATGGATAATATTTTGCACTATTTCTATCAATGTGTAGTATTTGAGTATTTCATTGGATGGCAATGTAAATTGACATCTCCAACTCTGAGAGCAAATCATAATCATCCAAATTTCTACAAATTTATATTTGTGAACAGGTTATTCAAGGAATGTGGGTGATTATCAAATGGTCTGCATACAGATGCAGTACATGTATCTTTTTACCTTGTTTTATATAAGCAAGGCCTGTCATTATTTTTAATTGAAGTAAAGTTCTAGAGATTCTGTAAAATTTATTATGTACAATGTTGGAAGAGAGGCACATGAACAATTTTGGGAGCAATAATTAGTAAGGGGCTAAATGTAGATATGTATGTATTACAGCTAATGTGTTCTTCATTGTAGCTACACAGCAATTCAAAAGATAGAACAAGAGATGAAACTATTTTGATATGGAGAATTGACAAAGCTCATTTTAATGACTTTTATTTTTATGTAAGCTTTGTACTCTCAAGATATGGCGTGAATCCAGATTTTTAAGTGACTCAAGGATGTAACTCTCCAGGGGGGGGGGGTTTGATTGAATGTTTTTTAAGTGTTATTGACAATGAATGAGACTTCACTAAACAAATATTTACATCTGTGTCTTTAAAACATTCAAATCAACAAAACATATATATTACAGTGACCTCATGAAGACTGCATTCCACATGCATGCATTGCATGTATATACTTTTTATTTTTTACCAAGTCTACTTGTATTATGAAGTAAAGCATAATTTATACATGCATTCATATACACTTTACATATGTAAACTAGAAAACAACATCAAAGAATAGCAAATCCCAATGAACAAATTATTCATTAATCTGTGTGAATATATTTTATGAATACAGTTCCAAAGTTTATACAACAGTCATACTCATTACTTTCTTGTTACTTTCAAAGTGATGTCCATCTTAAAAAATCTTTTAGTTTAAAACTATTTACCAATATTCATCTTTCCATCAAATATCATGGTATGTGTATTTTCTGGATGGATGAACTGACAGACGGAGTGAACGGCGAATGGATGGAAGGCTCTATTTTTCAAGTGGCTTTCCATGTCTTTTTGAAATTTTTTGTTTTTTCATTTCAAAATAATAGATGGAATGAAATGAAACTATAAACTGTTAAATATGTTGAAGTTATTAAGGGTTTTAAGTATATGAAAAAGAAAGAATGGTTTTATGATAATCATAAGACATTGATAGGTATGTAACATTGTTTCAACAAATCTGTTACTGCTCCTCTATCTCCTTATATCCCAGGAAAGCTGACAGTGGTGTTCTAGGTTCTTGCTCTATGGATACTTTCACAAAGAGAGTGTCCTCATTTACAAACCCTTGGCTGGGATCTAGGACTCTCCCCAAGTCTAGGAACTTTGGTATTCCAGTTGGCACATTTGTGTCACTTACTGGCTTCCCCCATGTGTTTAGAGCTTTGTTTGGCTTGAAAGTATCCATATAATCCTCACTTCGGTCGAGTTGGTTCAGGATGCCAAGGGTGATCTTCTGGTTGAAGGGCCATGGGAGAAGGGCATCAAATTTACCTTTGCACATCATTATGAAGATGCTAACATGAGTCCCAAGTCCCATACCATCTCCATGTAGGTAAACTCTGACTTTTAGCTTGTATCCCCCTCTTCTTGTATAAAAGGCTGGGGATGTTACACTTGCAGGGTCACGTATCTTAGCCTTTTTAAATCTCTCCTGAAAGTTATCAATGGGGAGAATCATTTTCCCATCATACACTGTAATTTGAGATTCATCAATAGCAATGTCCAGATTTGCAATTGCCACTTGCTGTTGGGTGATAAACTTATCTGTTCTCTGATGCTGCACAAATAGGTTTTTCAAAACCTGGAAAAAATGTCTCTGAATACCTGTTTCTAGGTTTGCCAGTCTTTGCTTCACCCATGTTGATTCTTGTTGCAGGACATCCAGTACATTCATGAAGATTGATATCTTATAATCAGTCAGATCTGAAATATCCAACATTGATTTCAATGCATGTTGAGATTCATTACTATTTCTGTGTCCAGTCCCTACATGAATTTCCATGGTTAATAATAGCTGCGAAAAGTGTGTCATTGATTCAGTCATAGATTTCATTTGTTCAGGAGTGATCAGTTCACATATTTTATGTAGCTCTTTTTGTGCCTGATGTAGCAACTTAAAATGATGCACCGTGGACTCTTCTTTGTGTATTTCTGTATCATTGGCATCCTTGAACAAAAAATGTTAACTTGGATAATTATAAAGAATTAATTTTGCATCAACCTCGAGGGCTTGATTATTCAGAATGATATTGAAACAATCATACAAATTATTTCAATGAGGACTGACAAGATTGTCTTCCCAAAGCATATTGTGTGAGAACACTGTGCAATAAAACTGTGCAATAATGAGGATAAATGAATGATGTACATGCATTTACCTCCTCACATCCAACAGCAGAGAATTCACAGCTTCCTGATGCAGCTGCCATTGTAACGGTTTGTTGCCATTTTGTTAAGTTACCAGAGAAGTGATGAATAATTATAGTTACTTAGCAGCTTAGTATATAAGATAATTATTGGTACTTTATCAAGTTTTGTTTTCAGAAACCATCCATTTTCTCTAAATTCTATCTCACACCCAACTATGTAAATATTCAATTTCCATTTTTTAGTTTCATAACATCACTGCAAAGTCCCAATTGTTATTTCCTTTTCTATTTTTCCTTTGTTTACACCGTGTATGTTAATATTTAACATGGAAATTCCAGTTAAAGTAAAAGGGGATTCCCCTTTGGATGACTCATTTGGGGGGCCAGCTGTCATGTAATTTCCCCACACATATTAAAATAATCAAGTTAATTTATAATTAACATCCTGGGCCTTTAGTCATGAAAACAGTCATTTAGTCATGACAACAGTTCATGGATGAGTAATTTAAATACAGTTTCTAAATGATTAAAATTCAAAATGCCCTATACAAAGTAATTTCTGAGTATCAAGTACTAGACATTTTTCAAAAAAGTTATTAGCTTTGTTCTTTTGATTGAATATCCCAATACTTTTAAAAAATAGTTGAAGATATCAGATCATTAAATTCTCCCATAAATAAATATTCCTTCGAATTAAAAAATTAAGTACAAAATATTAGAAGCCTGGGCATGAACATGACAAAGATTTGTTCAAATGAAAAAATATCATGATCCAGATGCAGAATAACTAATATTATTTGACAAGCTTGCAGATCAACTTTACTCAATATTACTCATGATTACTCATACTTTCTATTTCTTCACAAATAACTGTCTGCAACTAAAACAGCTTCAGAATATTTGGCACGAATCGGAATATTTGTCATATTTGACCAAGTAAATTGATGTGATTATAATTGTTTGTTCAGATATGATAAAAGTAAAATGATGAGTAAAATAGGATGGTATCTATTTTATTTGAGATGCAACAATTGATGAATTGTTTGCACGTCCACAGTAACTGGAGTTGTTCAAGATACAATATCACTTTCCCTTCAATTTCAGCAAAATCAAGTAAAATCTTGATTCCAAATATTTATTCTAATTGAACGAAGTTCGGAGGGATATAGGGAATGCGTCTGTCCGTCTGTATGTCTTGTTGGGACTTATACACTTGATAGTTGAAATTTTGTATGTTCCCAAGTTCAACCTCTAATTCAATGAAAAATCTCAATCTAAGTGTGCAGCCAAAAACTACATGCAAGGTAGTCTCATTTTTGTAGCCACATTGGCATACAGGAGTCTCCACATTTGTAAAATTATGTGAATGTAAGTGAGACTTAAAGGCAAGGTCACATCTAACTTTATTAAAAATGATCTTGCAGCCTCTGTTCAGATCAAGATCTGAAGTACGGATCAATTTAGCATTTATTAGATCCTTCTTAAGGTCTGATTTGAAAATATTTAAGTTATTTGAGCTTCTAATTTTTGGTGACAGTGAGTTCCACTCATTCATAGCAGTGAAAATGCATATTCTATTGTAAATGGCTGGCCGCTTTATTGGAATAGTGTAGTCAAATCTATGTTGATTAGTTCTATTTTGGATTCTTTTGAAAGGCAGGAAAATATTTGATACATTGGCCAATTTAGACTTTTAAGTAATTTAAGAGATGAGGTACCTGGAAATACACCAGAACAGATACAAGCTGCTTTATAAAACATCATATTCTACTTTTCAGCCACTATGTGCCAGAAGTGCATCTCATTTCTATACCTAACATGGTATTCTACATTTCAACCACCATATACCTCATATGATATTCTGTATTTCAGACACCATGTGCCAGAACTGCGGTTTATGTCTATGCCTAACATGATATTCTATATTTCAGACACCATGTACCAGAAGTGCATCTAATGTCTATACATAAAATGATATTCTATATTTCAGACACCATGTACCAGAAGTGCGTCTGATGTGTATACCTAACATGATATTCTATATTTCAGACACCATGTACCAGAAGTGCGTCTGATGTGTATACCTAACATGATATTCTATATTTCAGACACCATGTACCAGAAGTGCGTCTGATGTGTATACCTAACATGATATTCTATATTTCAGACACCATGTGCCAGAAGTGTGTCTAATGTCTATACCTAACATGATATTCTATATTTCAGACACCATGTGCCAGAAGTGCGTCTAATGTCTATACCTAACATGATATTCTATATTTCAGACACCATGTGCCAGAAGTGCGTCTAATGTCTATACCTAACATGATATTTGACCAGCCAAGCCAGGTGATCCTGACCCTAGCCAACCCAGTAGACTACATCACTCATGTCACTCTATTGCCAAACTGCAAAGATGATGCTGAAGCTGACACTGGCAAGGTAATCAGAATTTAGGAGGAGATGGAATGAAATGAATGCATATTATTGCAATTTTGTCAGATATTAGAAAAAAAAACTTTGAAGATTGTTAGAAGCTGTGAAACAATTTTTTAATTTAAATTATAATTCTGCTGCAATAATAAACATAACGTTCCGGTATTTGAAAAGGTAATATTAATTTGTTCTTCAGATTGAGCTCCCAATCTGTGAGTTGACTCTGGCTCCACTTGATAGCACAGGTGACTTTGATGACACAGCTGAGATACCGGATTATGATGATGACCCCAAGTAAGCAATAATGTTGTACAAGTACTTCTACAACTAATTTATATCATATGTCGTACTCTAATGTGATGTCTTAGCTCAATAAAACTTCACTTTCCCTATCGATTCATATAAAAAATTAGTCAAAGACACTGTTTCTAGTGTCAGAAAATGGATTTTGGCTCATTCAAAACTAAGAAAAATCAATATTTTAGTCAATATGTGACAATATGTGAAAGTACGTAGTTAGCACAAGACTCAAGCTACAGATTGAAATATCTCACAATGCACACATTGAGTTTTATTGAAAGGCAGATATTGATTTCATTTTTTTGCAGGATTGTAACTTTCCGTAAGGCCAATAAGATAGGATTCTTTGTAAAAGTGACACCCAAGAAAGCAGTTGGAGATGTAAAGGTTTGTTGTTTGTACATGAAATTGTTGATTTGCGAAATCCTATTTAAAGCCATTTTGAAGCTCATTCTTCACAAATTAAATTTGGGTCACTCCTAATCTTCAAATTTTTTTAAACTAATCGTGTGATAAAAGATTTACATTTCAGTCATTTGTCTTATTAACTATAGTTGCACAATATGCACGAGTGACTTCTTTATATCTATCAAGCTTACTATTTTATGATTGGTCAAATCTAGATCACGTGACATGAGAGATTTTAAGTGGAATTCACAAGTCATCAAAATCAATTCTGCATGTGTTATAACATAGGTATTCGCCTATAGGATCCTATTTGTATGCATATATCAATTTTCCAATTATTATTTCAGGTTTCCTTCCTGATGAAATATGACTCTAGGTGTATGCCTGCCCTTCTACCCACTGATGACAAGGAAAGTCCTGTTTGGCTTGAACATACAGTGCATCTTAATCTAGGACCTTTGAACTCATAAACAATCATCATGCATAGATATATATTACCTGAGTGCTAGTATCTCACAATAAATTGGGCAAGAACATGCTGAACATTGTACATTCTCGCATAGGAGCATTATATACAAGACAAGATACTACTGACTATAACAGTATGTCTTTGGCCATTGCGGAAAGTGTTCCTGTACACAGGTTTTACCACATACGTAAACATCACCATTTGGGGAACCCTTATCCCAAGAAATTACTCTCAATTGATTATAGCATTTTCTACAAATACCCATTTCACAACATCTTCAGACTAGCTGTACATAAATCTTAAAATAAGTGAGCAAAGCTCATAGGAGATGACATAGCTACTGTCTTTTAGAACATAAATCAAAATATACCACCCTGTAGGAGTTTACAGCAGCTTTCATTGTTAATAAAGCTACCCTTAAGAAAAAAGCCATGGTAACCATGGTATTCCATGGTGTGTCCATGGTAATCCATGGCTTTCCATGGAAATTCATGGTTTTTCATGGTATTTTCCATGGAAATTCATGGATGCCCATGGTAATCTTCCATGGATATTTACCATGATTTTCCATGGTAATTAGTGGTTTGGTAATTGGTTTTTCATGGATGTGTCATGGTTTTTACCAAGACACATAGAGATCAACAATTTGGGTAGGATTTGTATTTACCAAAATCTCCAAAATGAATGTTTTGATGATAAAATAGTTTAACATTCGTCAAATGTTAAACTCAGCTTCCTTACAAATGAGAAAATATGTGAAAATGATGTAACTTTTCTATAAAGAAATATTGTAATGCAGTGAATGCAGCACAGTGTGAGTCATAAGATTTCAAAAAGAATTGTTTCAAGGGTCTTTGTGTAGATCAAGACTAAATAGAGATCGTTATTATTTTTTTAGGCCAAACACTTCTAACCTTTGAAAAAGATTAAGTCAAACTAGCCCAAGGTCTACTTTCTTATTCTTTCTTTAATTTTCATTTGTGTAAAATCAATATGAAATAATTTAATAAATAAATAACTCATTTTCTTAAATAACATTTCTAAAATTCGAGAATGCAATCAAAAACCATGGTTACTTTCTTTGAAGTTGAGGAAACTGCAATCAAAAGCCATGGAAGTCGGTTGATTGCAATCGAAAGCCATGCTTTTCCATGGTTTTTTCTTTGATGTTTCAGAAAGTGCAATCAAAAGCCATGGTTTTCCATGGTTATTCTTTTGATCTTTTGAAAGTCCATGGTTTTCCATGGCTATATGTTTGGTCATTTGGATGCGGAAAAAAGAAAAATACATTATGTTTCTAAATGAACTTTTATGAGCACATTATCTGAAAAAATCCACAGAATTTTTGACTTGAAATTGAGATGGGGGATTAAACACAAGCCTATGGCTGCAAATTGAAATGTTATACCTATTGTGATCAAAATGAAGGATGCATGAAGGAGACTGGGGGGGGGGGGGGGGTAACAACACTATTTGGCTTAAATAAAACATGAAACATACACCTCAAGTAATCAAAAATTGATTTGTCTTTGAATAGGAATATATAATCATTTTCATAATTTTTTAAAATTTTTGGTTGCCAATGTTCTATGTTAATTAGGTTTCTTAACTCTCAAATTAATGTAAAAAATAATCTCTTTGTAAACAGATTATAATAGTTCATTTGCATATTTCTTAAATATTCTGATCTTAATTGTTATTATTTATGACAGTCTTTCTCTTCAGTAATTATTATTGTCTAAGAGTGTAGACAGTGCTAGTCTAAAACTCATTGTTGATCAAATAAAACCTAATCGGATTTACTCCAAGTAAAAATGTTTATTCAGTCTGCATTAAGGGAATCCGGTGAGCTGATTTCATCACTTATTTTGTCTTTTTTACATTCATACCAAAGTAATAATTGATAGCAAATCCCAGCAAACAAACTATTAATTGTAGTTTTGGAGTCAAATCATCAATATAATAATTATTAAATGAAAGTTCTTTGTCATATGACACTATGTACAGATCTTGGATTCATTCGTTAAAACATTGATTCAATTTGGAAGATTCTTGTAAAAACAAAACCTGCCAAAATTGTTGACTTCACAACTCAAGTGACATGGTAAAAACATGACATGTCCATGAAAAAACAATTACCAAACCATTAGATACCATGGAAAATCATGGTAAATATCAATGGAAGATTACAATGGATGCCCATGAATTTCCATGGTAAATACCATGAAAAACCATGAATTTCCATGGAAAACCATGGAGGTACCATGGAATATCATGGCTACCATGGCTTTTTTCTTAAGGGTATGTAACAGATTGGATTGGAGAACTTTGAGAATATAGCCTGACATTTAGTGGAATGTAACCATTGCTTGATATTACCTTATTGTTATATAACCAGGTGTAAGATTAACATTATATATAACTAAATGTACTTGTAGCAGTAAAACTGAGTTTACATAAAGTTGGTTTAGTGATCTTTCATGTGCAATATTTATTATCACTTTGTTTATTATAATATGTAACGTTTGCACTTTAACCGGGAATTAGGATAGAGCTTGTGATATGAATGGACAAGCTTGATATAACTGATAATATAGGATTTGGCTAAGACATAGACTTTTCTTGAGAACATTGTCAACATATGTATGTTTGCGGAGATAAAATAATAAAGATTTGATGAAAATTACTATGGATTCTGTTTCTATTGGTTGCATGTGGACTGTCCTCTTGTATCTGTCAACAAGTTTTTGGCAATATTTATATCTGAATCAACTTCAAAATGAATTACCTGACATTTTTAATTAACAAATAAAATACTTTTCATTTGGTAAAATCTTTTATTTAAAGCATTAGAATTGAAGGATATCATTATTTTTTATCAGTGTTTTTCCTCATAAATCAGAATACCTCCTATAAAAATTAATCAGAATACATCAACTATCAATGGCCTACAGACATTCTAGGTAGTAACATTTCAATTGAATTGTGGATAATCGTGCTGTAAATATTTGACTCGATCTTAGAGATGCTGATGTGATCAGACTTACAATTTTATTCCCAATGTTCATGCAAATTCACATCTAAAAGTGGTATATACCTTCTATGAAATATTCTTTGAAATAGATGCCCACTGGTTTTCAATGTTTCTCCTTACAATAGAATAAATAGGTAATTTAGAGTGATATCAACTTACTATGCATTTGTTTTGAAATAAGTTCTTACTATGAGGTTCTGGTAAAGTTCAAAGAGTTCAGTTGCTAATATAAAGCTTCTTTCCTTTGACTTTCAAAAATATAAGCTTTGCATGGACTCATAGTACAGGTACATAATATGGATGCCATAGAGAAATAAATCAACTATCAACAGTGATCATCTATTGGACAATCAACATCCACCTGGAAAAATACAGTAGCCTCTTCCCAGGAGTATTTTATATTCATAGTTAGAGTCCATTTCACTGGTTCATTTCGTCAGTAGAACGGCAAAAATAAGAAATTGGGAGACCATGCATTGTGCAATAATATATGGAAAAGTATATTCATAATGTATATGAATGACATTTGTATATCTTGGATTGCTTCTAGTTTGGCTTATAAAGTGTGTGGCCTCTTATATTTGGATGTTTCTCTGCCATGTTATTTTCAATTAGATTAACATGGCTGAAATTCTTCAAATTACATGACGGCACAGGCTTATTGCACAAAAAACTAAAAAATCTGAAATATACAAATGTCATTCATGTACATTATGAATATACTTTTCCATATATTATTGCACAATGGTCTCCCAATTTCTTATTTTTGCCGTTCTACTGACGAAATAAAGCAGTGAAATGGACTCATGTACTATGCTGTACACTTATCTTATTTCGTGATACTTCTTTTGTCATCTTAAAGTTACCACCTTACCCGGAAGTGACGTTTTTTAGATTTCATAAGATTTTTTATTTGTATTAATTTGATCATATATGCAGACAATAGTCTTGAATTACAATAAAAACGATTAAATTAAAGTTTCATTATGTCCTTCTGTGCCTGGGGTGGAGGAGAAAAATACAGAGACCATTTTGATACAGGTACATGTAAATTGAAATTGCTCAGTTCAAATAATATTTTACTTTTGAATTTTTTCAATGTTCCAATATTCTTCAAACAAGTTCATTTCTAATGATTATTTTTATCATAATACATACCATGGGCTTTCAATAGAGTAGTTGAAAACTCATGTAAATACCTAACATGTCAACAATTCAACATGTTTCACTACGGTACCACATTTTCATTCAAGATGGCGCTGCTACAGAGCACTTTCAGGAACTATATTCACAGATTTAAACATAGATTTTTTGCCCCCTCCATTTAGCGGAGGGATATAACTGTGTACTGAGGCCTTCTGTAGGGCAGAGCTGACTAGAGTCTCTAGCCAATTCTTGGCTAGAAGTAATTTCATCTGGATAAATTTATTAAATATTTTAAAAATTGCCAGATAAATAAATTATGAATTAAAATGGAACTGGGCTCCTTGATGAAATATTGCATGATTTCGTCTAAAATTATAATAAACAGCTCCAAGAAAAATGTATATTTGAAAACGGGACGAAATGTCGTCATTGTCTGACATTAGTAACTGGCTGTAAATTCTAAGTTAGCGATCCAGAAGATGTGAACTAATACATTGATCACTTCATGTGTTTTGGAATTTTTGGTGAGGTAATAAGACCAAATCTCGCTATTCAAATTGTGACGTGGAAAAATGGCGAACATTTGATTTCAAATTTTATGATTACGCCATGACCCGTATACACCAGTAAAAAACATGCAGGGATTTATCTTTGGACGAAGGCGACGATATACATGTAGTGGCCTTAGAAGAGGGTAAGGCAGAGTCTTCATGTCAATCTTTAGAAAGGGATCTCGAAAAGTGACCTGTATAGAAAAATAAAATAACCTATACAAAAATAAGTCGAATCATGACCCTCCATGGGATTCCCTGTGCTTAGAGACTAGGTCTACTGGTTGGATGACATCTCACCAAATTAAAGTTCAAGGGTCAATACATTATTTCGTGATAGGGGCAAAGCCTTAATGGAAGATCAACACAGGAAAAATGGAAAGTCAAAATATCATTTACACTTTCTGTGCTTATGCTTCATCATGAACAAAACAATTAAAGGTGTTATGGTTTCATTAAAATGTGTGTATAAACCTCTAGAAGGTAAGTAAGACTCCCAATCTTTAGGAACACTTATATTTCAAGTTCTACGACGCAGTCAGGCCATGAAAAAATTAGTAGGTTCAAAATTTTTATTCTTCTGAGATTTGATCAATTTAACATTGGGTCATCCCCATCTCTAGTGTAAGGTCAAAACCCTCATAGTCAAAGTCACTAGAAGTAGGGCCGCCATTTCCAGATGTAGGGTATCATCGAATATAAAGCGAGAGAATTCTGACCAATATTCTTCGTTATCATCGTGTCATATTCCAACCTGTTTATAAACACTTATCATAAGGTTCAAATGAATGTCTATGCTATCTTTTTTGTAATGACTGATGAGGACCTCACAAGAGTCACAATGCTGCACAAGGTTGTCCTCCAAAATGTAGCCATTCTATTAGCTGCTTGAACTCTACCTGTCGATAAATGAATGATGAATCAGCCTACAGTTTTTAAGATTGTTTTCAATATGTTTTTTCAATAACTGCATCCCCAAACTCATTTTGAACAACAATTTGGAATCAGTTCTTCAAATTTTAGGACATAAATCTTCATCAGTTTTTATGTTACCACCAGAAGTGTTGACATATTGTTATAGTCTCCAACTTATATGTGGACAGTGTTCAGCGTTCAGAGTTTGGCAGTTGGTGTCTGTAACAAATGGCATCTTATATGCTGATGCCTAGAGACAAAGGAGCTATGCTGAAGAAGAGATTTTCAAAATAACTGCTAAATATCAAATTGGTCACCATTTTTAGCAAAAAAATTTATCTTTGATACATCAAATACCAGTGAACGGATTTGGTTCAAATTTTATATGATGATGCCTAGGGTTGATTTGTTCTAGAAAGAATTCTAAAGATGGCAGCTGAATTTTAAAATGGCAGCCATTTTTCATTAAAAAAGTTCATTTTGAACAACAATTTGGAATCAGTTCTTCAAATTTTAGGACATAAATCTTCATCAGTTTTTATGTTACCACCAGAAGTGTTGACATATTGTTATAGTCTCCAACTTATATGAAGACAGTGTTCAGCGTTCAGAGTTTGGCAGTTGGTGTCTGTAACAAATGGCATCTTATATGCTGATGCCTAGAGACAAAGGAGCTATGCTGAAGAAGAGATTTTCAAAATAACTGCTAAATATCAAATTGGTCACCATTTTTAGCAAAAAAATTTATCTTTGATACATCAAATACCAGTGAACGGATTTGGTTCAAATTTTATATGATGATGCCTAGGGTTGATTTGTTCTAGAAAGAATTTTAAAGATGGCAGCTGAATTTTAAAATGGCAGCCATTTTTCATTAAAAAAGTGAATGGATCTGGTTCAAATTTTATATGCTGATTCCTAGGGACACAGTAGCTCTGTTCAAGAAAGTTTTTCAAAATGGCGGCTGAATTTCTTGATAACTCAAATGCTGATTGATGGATATGGTTTACATTTTATATGTTGATGCCTAGGGACAAACAAGCTCTGCTCAAGAAGGAATTTTCAAGATGGCCACTAAAAATCAAAATATGTTTTGTTTGGTGGTATTCACAGTACATCTGTTTGACAAAGAATTTTCAAGATGGCAGCTGAATTTTAAAATGGCTGCTATTTTTCATAAAAAAAGTGAATGGATCTGGTTCAAATTTTATATGCTGATTCCTAGGGACACAGTAGCTCTGTTCGAGAAAGTTTTTCAAAATGGCGGCTGAATTTCTTGATAACTCAAATGCTGATTGATGGATATGGTTTACATTTTATATGTTGATGCCTAGGGACAAACAAGCTCTGCTCAAGAAGGAATTTTCAAGATGGCCACTAATAATCAAAATATGTTTTGTTTGGTGGTATTCGCTACTCCTTGGAGTTGCTGTTTTTCTAGTTATGAACTGCAGTGGCTGTATATGTTTTCTTTTTGATACATGTTAAAAACTTAAAATTAAATGCCCTGAACCATTTTTTTTAATTTGGAAAATCCTCCAAATGAAATTGGCACCAATATTAGAAAACTGAGTCAAAAACAAATTGATAAACAGTGCGAAATGAATGACCAGTTCAATCAAGGTAGCTGGTACATGTACAAAATAATGCAAATATATCAAAAAGAATAGTTATCCTCAATTGTCAAATATAACTTTGTTAATGTATTTTCAAGGTATATATGTGTGCTCAAAATGTGGCAATGAGTTATTCACAAGCAAGTCTAAGTATGAACATAGCACCCCCTGGCCAGCATTCACAGAGCCTATAAGAGAGGACAGTCTACACAAGTATGAGGAATCGCCCAGAGCACTAAAGGTATAATCAGGCATAAAAGTGTTTTAATAAAATTAGAAGAGCACAAATCATGCTCAAAATCAAATATTTAACCATTTATCGAACATGTATTTTTAGTTTTGCATATGTGGGCCATATATGGAAAAGGCTAAATGCTAGATTATTTTATTTTATGGGCTTTGATTGTATGTGATACAATTCTAT